TATATATATAGAGAGATATATATATCTATATATATGGAGTCGCCCAATTGCCAGGGAGGAACACATGGAGTGGATGTGCCAGGAATCGATAGTGTCAAGCCGATAAGGCAAGTCCAGTTATCATAGTCATATAACAGTCCAAGGTCGATGCAGGCGGAGGGGGGTTATCATGCAGTTATACAAGCCAAGGTCAGTGCGGGCAGCTGCGGTTCAGAAACGATAAACAAGCAGGAATACAGGTCTGAACTCTGGGAAACTCACTAATAACTGAGCACCATGCTCTCTGAGCAGCAGTGCTTTATGGGAAAGGTGTGCTGATTAGCAGCTATCAGAGAGGGTGTGGTGACAGGTGAGCATTCACACATCTCTTCAGATCTCCAATTTAAACTTGGAGCTGATGCAGAGCGCCCTCCCATAGGAGAGGATTGGGAAGACACTGCACCTTGCGGCTGCCCTATTGGACAGGCAGCCAGCTGCTGTTTGGGAGAGTGGCACAGGCAGCTTTGGATGCTGCGGGGGGAGAGGTATAAGTGGCATTACAGAGTGGTGGTTATAGTTATGAGCGGGCTTGGGGCGAACTCAGGTGAACTGAGTTGACATCAAGACCAATCAAAACAAATGGCAAAACGCACTCAGCAATTTGTAACCAGCTTTACAGCAAGGTGCACATGGAAGGCTTTATACGGTACAACAGCAAAAAGTTTCTCCGCACACTCACCAGCCAGCATGCAAAAAAACTTGTCTCACCGCTAAGGTTAAAAACAGAGGTTTGGATACATGTCTTCTGCAGAATATGTGAAAGCCGCGCCCATTTTTATCTTTTGCCACCTGTGCTCCAAAATGGAGACTCTCATAGTTTAGAGTTAGGACCGCACTATATAGAGGTGCCTTGGCGAGGCTGTGCGGCTTTCACATTTTCTGCAGAAGACGTGTATCTAAACCTCTGTTTTTAACCTTAGCGGTGAGACAAGTTTTTTTTGCATGCTGGCTGGTGAGTGTGCTGGCGGGCTGGTGAGTGTGCTGGGAAACTTTTTGCTGTTGTATATCAAGACCAAGGCTCATCATTAGTGATGAAGGGTTACAATGTGCAGCAGCGCGGGGGGGTTAGAATATTTGGTTAATTTAAAAGTAAAGCTCTGTCTAGGTAAAGCATTTGAAATGATGTAATCCGTGTGCTAGCAGATACCTCAAGGGGACGGTACATGCCTCTATTACTTCAAAGAGTGCTCTGGAGTACCCCACATGGATCAGCAAACTAAGGTTGGCTTTCTATGCATATCTCTACACCGCAGCAGGTTGGACAAATTCCATAACCCAGAAAGCTGCAGTCTACATTTTGTGGCTTTTTCCTGTTAGATCTCACTGCCTACCAGTGTAAGCAACCTGATTCCTGCGTTTACAACAAATGTGTCCCCCTGTATCCCTTCAATTGAAGTGTGACCTTTACAGGGTAGGACTGGGAGACTGCTGGGCTAATGTTAATAATGTAAGTTGTGCTGGTGGCCCTTAGTGGAAATACTTTACCATGCAAACATTGATCAGAGGGAGACATTATGGGTGCAATTGGAGCAGACAACCAATCAGCGTCTCTCTTCGGTTTGTTCGGTTAAGCTTTGAAAATGATAGAGAGAAGCTGACTGGTTGCCATGCTCTGGTTTTTATGAATTCCCCCTATATATCTACCTGCAAATCACAGTATCTGACAGAGGGAAGTCTTCCAGCACTGACTTCTAATGTGACTCTGGATTGTCATATGACCGAATGCCAAGAGCCACAAAGAGAGCTGATGCTGGAAGATATGAAAAGTTGTGTTACACTTCATTCACATGGCCACAGAGGGCCGTACACTGTCAAGAAGGGGTGTATGTCTGCCCCCCAGGGGTCACAGGTGCTTGCATACAGCCAGGACCAGCAACCTGTACAAATCAATGATAGGCTGACATGTCTTCTGATATCTCAGCGGTTGTATGGTAAATGTAGTTTGCATCCAGGGCCACTTATCCACCCCTGTATGCATGTGCCTGCTCGGCTGTGCATACAGCAGCTGTGGCCTCTGTCATTAATTTGTACGGACTGTGTGCAGAAATACATTGATGATGTACAGCCCTCGGCCATTGTGTGACTGTGGCCTTACAATAAACCATGTTCTTCACCATGCCCACAGATCATTGCTGCACATTGCCCAGGAATCATTCATCACCATGAAAGCCAGTCATGTTTGTCCCTCCTGGACCTAGCAGGGAACTCCACAAACTTGCACTAGGCTGGAGGTTAAGATTTATATAGAGTACACCCAGGAGGAGCACAAGCACACTGCTGTGCACACTACTGTACACATAGCCACCACCGATCTCTTTAGTGGCTAAAGCCCAGCCAATCGCTGGTTGACTCATCAAGCTCAGTAGATTTCCCCGCCCCCGCGCATCAAAAGAGCCAATCAGGAGTCAGCTAGGTGACTTCCTTCCCTAAGCACGCAACCAGGAGCTGCGTTTTAACGATTGCAATATGTACATGTACAATAAATATAAAAACCGGCTCCACTCCAGCCATCCGCTCGGGCTCTGCCTTACCTGAGGAGGTGACGCTGCCTCAGGCGCCGCTTGTTGCTTCCTATACCAGCAGAGCCCTCTACAGCAAGCAACCGTGCAGCCGGCCTCAGGTGTAACCTGTATCGCGGCACTGCCCGTCTATACACAGTCTAATTTATTTCCTTCATTATTTTTCCTCTCTCTGTGCTTACACTAAAGTCACAACGCAGAGCGCATGCTCGTCTGCCGCACTGCACTCTGGGAGTTGTGGTCCGTCAACAAAGAGACTGAGGAGCGTGATTATAGTCCAGGGAACTACCTATCCCGTCGTCCTCCGCGATGGACGCTACGTAGAGCTCAAAGGAACAAAGCTAGTAGAGTTGTCTGTAAAGCGTTGAGTTCTTGCTATGGCTGTGCGGCAGTGTTCCTTTCCAGTCAGTTTCTGTCCTGCGTATAGCTGCCTTCTTATCAGGCTATGCATATTGTATAACGAGTGTGGCAAAGCTGCAGGGGAGTAAAGGTGCCTGGTAACATACTCGCCTCCAAGGTCAGGTACTAAACCAGCAACTAAACCAGTTGAAAAGTAGCTAAAACAACTCTGTGCATTTTCAGGTTTCTGTAGTAAATATAAACTAACAGGAGGTAAGAGCATGCAGAACATGTATAAGTAGGCAGGCAGCATAGGCTGGTCACCTTGTCCTCAATTCCTGGATTCATGAGCACCCACATTCCAGGACAAGGTGCTGAGGATGAGGCCAGAGAAGGTAAGTGAAGGGCAGACAGGCTGGCTGGAATCCTGCCTAATGCCTGCAAACCTGGGAACTGTCTGTGTCTGTACAATTTGAAGTCGGTGGCACTGTAAAATCAGATTAAAGGAGAACTATGGGGTTAGGGCTTTTCCCCATAGTTCTCCTAAGGGTCACGGGAGAACACATACTAGCGTTCTCCCGTGACCCACAGCTCAGTAGCTCGCGGTTTATTGAGACGCTGCAGCCGGGACGGATCCCAACAATACTGTCTGGATCCACCCAGCTGCGTGATTGACAGCTGGCTCTGCCTATCCAGAGGCTGTGCCCGCTCCCTCCCCAATCCTTTTCGCCAGCCAACGCTGGAGGATCGGACAGGGGAGGGGGGTGTCCCTGCAGGGAACCGCGACTGACAGTCACGGCTCTCTGCAGGGATAGATTGAGAAGTGAGCGAGCAACGGTATGTGTTCACTCACTTCCCGATCTACTGAGCCGACCTGTGACAGTCTCATTGTCACAGGTCAGCTCAGATTATGAGGCTGAGTGAAAATCACTCGCCTCATAATTCTCCTTTAACTCATTAATGTTCCCCCTCTTGGTCCCACACCAGCGCCATTACTGAGTGGAGGGACAGCGAATCCAGTGGTGTGATGGCACCTGAGACTCTCAGTCCCATTAACTCCCCTCTGCTGACCTCAGTCCTCTTCTGGATCCTGAGTAGACACTGGCCAATGGAAATACAATAGGAAGTGACCATGTCATACAGGTGCTGATGTGGACACTCAAAGACTGACCCAAGAAAGTAGAGGAGGAGAAGACACTGGGCTTCAGTGTTATGTGACAGTGGCTTCAAAGGGAACTATGGGGTAACCTTTTTATCCCATGGTTCTCTTAAGGGTCACGGGAGGACATATACTAACATCCTCCCGTGACCCAAAGCTCAGTATATAGCAAGTTTCTGACAATACTGTCGAGATCCACCCAGCTGGCTGAATGACATCGGGCTTTGCTGGAGGATCGGGGAGGGGGGGGGAATCCCTGCGGGGAGCGGTGACAGCCACCACTCACTGTAGTGAGACGATCAGAAAGTGAGCGAGCGAAGGTATGTGTTCGCTCACTTTCCGATCTATAGAGTCTAACTATGAGGATGAGTGCAAATCACTCACCTCATAGTTATCCTCTAAGTCAGTGGTCCCCAACCCCCGGGCCGCGGACCGGTACCGGTCCTTGGATCAAATGGTACCAGGCGGCGGGGCCCCGCACTGCCGACGGGCTTTACAGTGAGGGGGCTGGTCCTGTGACTCCCCTCCCGGCCGCGTCCATAGTAACAGGCGGCAGGAGGGGAGGTGAGTCACAGGAGACGCGTGTGTCACAAGCCCCACCCCCTGCAGTGAGTGCACACAACTCCCTGGCTGGGTTAGGTAACTAAAAAAGGGCTGTTTGATGCAGAGATAGATAATCTTGGCCAGTCAGATGTGATGCTGTTTAATGTTGAACTCGGTCCAGCCAAAAACACTTCATTTAATATATTCCCTAATAGCCACAAAGGATAGAAATCCATTTTTTGTGCACCAAATGCCTTTGCAAACCTATATATTACCATATAAAAGTAGAGGTGACATCACTGCTGTACAGATCCTGTGCAGAGAGCAGATCTGTGGGAGGGACCCAGCAGGCCCCACCCACTACAGGCTGCCTGCAGAAAACAGGAGGGGGCGGATACAAGACCTGACATCCTGCACAAGGAGAAAGGGCAGCAGTGACCGGTCTTTATTACAGGAAGCTCCTGAACAGAGGTAAAGCTTCACACTGAAACCTAGACCTATTAATCAATGAAAGGCTTTGACCCAATTGCTTAGCTAAATCCAGGTGGTGACTTTTTTTTGGACAGGGAGTGTATTTACATATTCTGAACAAGCAGTAAAAGCACTTTTCACACAAGCCAGCAGTCATTTCTGTATTTATAAGCAAAGTGCACAAATTAATTCTCATAGTTCAAAACACAGGCACTGTGTTTTTCTGAAAGAACACAATCTTGGCAGGTTACCAGCCTTCTAATACCGTATATACTCGAGTATAAGCCGAGATTTTCAGCCCATTTTTGTGGGTGAAAAGTGCCCCCCTCGGCTTATACTCGAGTCAGCGCCAGCGCGTCTTCTTACTTACCTCGCCGGGCGTCGCGTCACTGCTGCTCGGTGTGCGGCGCTCCGAGCGGGGTCATCTGGCAGTCTCCGGGTCCTAATTTAGGTGGCCGGAGACTGCCAGATGACCCCGCTCGGAGCGCCGCACACCGCAGCAGCAGCGACGCTCGGCGAGGTAAGTAAGAAGAAGAAAAACCCCCCCGCAGCGGCCAGTCAGGCAGGGGAGCAGGGATGAGTCAGCGGCGCGCTGATCAGGCGAGAGGAGCTCCAGGTGGGGTTGTAATTATCGGGCAGGCACCTCTGAGCCAGCTAAATTAGGACCCCACCTGGAGCTCCTCTCGTCTGATCAGCGCGCCGCTGACTCGTCCCTGCTCTCTCCGTGATGTGATGATCCGATCACCGGCACACAGTGAGGGAGGGGAGGGAGGGAGGGGGGGTAGAGAGAGAGATTAATTAAGCAATTATATATGTATTGTCTGCACTGTATTAGCAGTATATACTCTATATAGAGTATATACTGCTAATACAGTGCAGACAATACATTTACAATTATACTAACATGAATGTATTAAATGATCTGTATGTAGCCCTGTACTATGGATCATTTAACCCATTCATGTTAGCAGAGGATCATTGTAAATGTATTGTTGCAGGCACTCTATATGTACATGTACTATATACTACATATAGAGTGCACTGAACAATAGATTTACAATTATCCTCTGCTAATATGAATGGGTTAAATGATCCGTAGTACATGATATGTAGCCCTGTACCCCCTTTTCCACTTACAGAGCTAGGTTATTTTTCTTTTAAATAAATATTAATGTATTTTAATGGTATCTATCTACCAGTAGCTGCCTCATTTCCCACCCTCGGCTTATATTCGGGTCAATACTTTTTCCCAGTTTTTTTGGCTAAAATTAGGTACCTCGGCTTATATTCGGGACGGCTTATACTCGAGTATATACGGTAGGTGTTTATAAGCTATTAGGGCTTGTTCACATGACAGATCACTGCACGCTCAATGCCAGGGCACATAGAAAACAATTGTTTTCTATGTGCCATTGCGTTGCAACAATGCAAAGAACCACCCCTTACCACTGCTACACCTTGTCGTAGGAACGGAACTCGAACGTTAATTGAGGAATACCTGTTATGTCCATAGTCTGGGCACAGGTGCACTTTAAAGCTGAACTCTAGCCTGCTCTTCAGTCCTGTACCATTGTCCAGGCTCCTCTCCTGCACTGAAGCTGCTTACTCTGATATCATTGCACAATATAAACGTTTGTGTGCATAAGAAGTTGCAGCAAATAAGATACAAAGAGCGGCGGCAGCGGTGACCTTGTGGGGAAGTTGCGGGCGCCGGTGTAAGGTGTCCCGGCGGCGGACCGTAGTGTGCGGCCGCCGTCCAATCACGACAGGGCGGCCCGAGGCTCCGCCCACCGGCTCCGTAGTGTGTGGCCGCCGGCCAATCACGTCGCGGCGGGCCGCAACTCCTCCCCCCAGCTGACAGATACTTCCTCCGGAATTGACGCCGAAGGAAGTAGCCGTCTACCTTGCTATCACACAGGGGCTTGTTATCTCCTTGTGATAGCAAGCAAGTTAGGTGGGGAAAAAAATTTGATTTGATTGATTTAAAAAAAAATGTAAAAAAAATATTAACTTCCTCCCGGCCAGCCGTTGTGTATACACAGCTGGCTGGGAGCTTCTTGGATGTAAGTGGGCGTGTATGCACGTCCTGTTACATGCGCCCGAGCGGGAAATCCCCGCTATTTGAAAAGAGGCAGCGATGCCCGTTAATATACAAGCGATCCCCCGGCTATAGAGCCAGCAGATCGCTTCTATGAGGCCCCGAGACGTGCGCCCCCTCCGCGACAATTTAAAAAAAAAAAGTCCCACCCTTACATACACGCATGTAAACATGCGTCAGGTGCGCATACCTGCGAAAACGACGATGGCGCCCATTACGCCGCACATGTTACATATCGCCGCGAACGTCGGAAATATAACCAATAGTTCTAGGGCCATCAATCACTGATAACACTAAACTGATAAGCGGTAAAAGCTTTTAAAGCGTCGCCTGCCCCAAAGGCCAGGGGGGCGTATCGTGGAACCCGGCCTTGGGGCGGCAGGGAGAGTAAATCCGGCTCTGGGAATAACCCTGCTAATGTTTCTTTAGATTATGTGAAACATAAACTTAACACAAATGAACTTTAACTAGACATGGGGCTCATGGATTTGCTACTTTACACTGGATCAATGGAAGCTTGAGAGAAATTAGCGCATTTCTCTTTTCTGTAGGGAATGATGTGCCTACTGGAACTATTAAAGCCATCACATGTAAGCTATACTT